AAGGCAGTGACGAATTGTGCTCAGTGCGTGTAAGCGGAACTTCAGGGAGTCAGCAATCTCTGATGAACAAATAGCACCGACAGTGGAGGGACCCTGAGATAGCTATGTGGAGACAAGGACAGTTACGATAGAACCCAGCATCAAGAATGAGCAGATGAGCCAAGACGAGGCGCAAGATCCTTCAGTCAAGTACGACATGTATCCTGGAAGCAAAGCAGCGGTCAGGGGACCGGCCGGATTGGTCGGCAATGGCTTCAAAGTCCAGTGTGGAGAAGCCCTTGGAGGAAGTGAGCCCAACTGGAAATGAAGCAAGGTGTTCTCTACAGGAAATGGGAATGTGACCAAGGCCATAGGGTAACTGAATGTTGTCTTATCAGCTAAGCTTCGAGAGGTCGTTTTGAAAGAATTGCATGGTGGCAAGTCTAGTGGATACCTTGGCATGAACAAGACCTGAGATAAGGTTCTATTGGGTAGGAACGGATGCAGACATTCGGTCGAGTGTACGGCAGCTTAAGGTAGTTCATTTGGACAGGTTGAAACCCTACGAAGTGGCACTCTTCAGCCCTAAGGACTCCTAGTTAGAAGCGATTGTAAGTCAGCACGAAGGTTGAGCAGGACGCTCCTAGCCAACTTGCACATGTCAGCTTTAGGAGGGGAAGAGGAGGTTGACCCCGTCGACAGGGAAGCTTCAAAACTTGTTGAACCGACTGTACCTGCACCATGAAAGGTTCCTGTCCCAGCCTCTAGGAGAAATCCCGCGAGAACTAGGAATCCACCAAGGCCCAACTCAGTTAATCTTGCCATAAACCCAAACTAAGCAGTCTGTACTTTGCCATTCCTGCCAATGTATTTTGTTTTTACTTAATAAGTAAAAAGATAAGGCACAATTCATTACAGGTACATAATATGTACCTGTAATGAATTGTGCCTTATCTTGTTCATCTTGAATCCTGCATTCCTTCTATCCTTCACCCATTGTCTGACTTCAAACTTATATTTCATTCGTTCTCCCTCTAATTCTTTTGTTCTTCCACTCTTCTCGAGTTCTTATTTTGCACTTTGCCAAAGTTGAAAGAATTAATTATGTTGTATTATTACTATGAAATAGTTCAGGGATGCATTGTTTTGTATTTGTTAGATAGCAGAAGAAAAAGAAGAGGGCTATGTTTTATTTTAACATGTATAAGCATATATTTTTATGAACAAAATTATATCTACGCATTGATACACATATGCAATGTGTTTTATTCCATGTATTTCATGCTTCTACATTTCTGGTCCTATACCTTCCGCAGCTTTTCTTTCCTATGACTTTCCCGTCTTTCTCTACTCCTTTTTTTATTCTTTCTCTCTACTTTTGTACATAGATTATTTTGTTTTTATACCTTAGTTTAGTATGCAGTTTAAGGATTTTTTTAATTATTGTTATACTTTTTTCGAAAGATTATTCCGAGGTGTTATTATCTTGTTTGGTTAAGGAGTGGTCCGAGGACAGCCCACACTTTGGGAGGGGCTGTGTAGCATAACTAGCCCAGTAATTTAGTAAGACGTAGAGAGCGTTATAGTTGATTGTGAGATATATACATGTACATCGTGAGATGTCAGTCAGGAGTCAGCGTTGACCTGTCGTTGCGACAGGTCCGTAACCAGGAACGAGTAAAGTTACTTGAACTGTAAATACTGTGCATGTGTTGTTTCTTTAGTCCTGTCAGACATTCAGTGATTGCGGGAGTAAGTTAATAAGAGCTAGTCCACTTTTTTCTTACACGATATACTTTTGTGAGAGCCCACTGAGAGATATAGATGATGAATGATTGTCGAGAGCGTGGATCGGGTTTTGAGAGACTGCAAGGCAGAACGCTTCCCCGGCAGGACCCGGTTACGCCACAATGCGTTCGATTTGAAATAAACGACCTAGATCAACCGAAAAATTGGCGTTGCAAAAGGTGTCAACACTGCAGCTTTTTGCGCACTAAAGCAAAAACCAAGCTCATCGGAGAAACATATAAATACGTTTCATTTGAAATGAACAACCTACATATCCCATCGAGATAAGCTATGAACGAATGGATCTTGATCTTTGTCTTTCAGGTTCATGTACCAACGGTCACCAATGCAACTGCGATAATGATGACGATGCCTGGAGAGAAGACTCGGGGTATCTTACCGATAAGACTACCTTACCTGTTACTGAAATGAGGTTTGGTGACACAGGACAAGAAAACGAGTACGGGTATTATACACTAGGACCATTATACTGCAAGGGAGATGAATCTTGTAAGTTTTATATGAAAACGATCACTTATTATTACATAGCTTCGTAAAATTTCTGATCGTTAAACAAAGTTGTCAATAAACGTATCTGGCACTATGACTCCCAGAAAAAGAAGAAGTATGAAACAAAATTAAATTGGCGCTCCGACAAATGGTCGTTATTATATTTGTTAGATGATAGGCATAATGGTTACGTTGACAATGCAGATAATGATTTAACGATGAATATAATGATGATGATGATGGTGATAATAATGACGATGATGACGACGGCGACGACGACAATGCAGATGATACTGATAATGATCCCGATGATATAAACATCAGGAATTACCATTCTGGTAAAAATATTTGGTGAAATGACACTGACCCTGTGCTTCGTCCTTTCTTTCCATTCTCTAGTCCTTGTGACGGGTCGTACAGATTTCATGTTCATCAAAGAAAGGTACCTTCATTATAACAACAACGCAGTTCTGTCTAGCATCACGGTTGCAGAATGCGCCCAGGCCTGTGTGTCAGCCTTCACCTTCATATGTAGATCGTTTGACTATGAACCATCCTACAACAGGTGCTATCTCAGTGAGGAGAATGACTTGACTGTTAACCCATATAGCGGTTCTGTTTATCACATGTTTGTTCGGATCAGTAAGTTTCAGTTCCATGTCAGTCTTCTAGATTCTTACTTAGCTCAGAAGGCGCTGATGTGGTGACATTGTATTTGATTTACAGCAGCCGTTCGATTCAATTCAACAGTCATTTAATCGGTCAATCTGTCCACAGCCAATACACCCAGGCATTCATTAAACAATCGTAAGGATGCTCCTGAGTTAGAACAATTAATGTACTCGATGTTGCTGGATTTACCGTTCGCTTTTTAAACTATATTTTTTTGTATTAATCCCAATCTTTTTTCCCACCTTTTTCTCCTCAGTGGACCGCATTGAAGACTCATTTACTGGGGGTAAATCACCTTACTTTTCTTTTCTTTAGCAAGATACGAATTTATAGTGATATGTATTAATGTATTTCAATGTTCGTTACCGTTTGTTACCATGAAGTGTATTTTCATTAATGATTATTGCAATGACGAATATCGTCATTGCCTTGTTTTCGTTCACATTCTGCCCCATTAATATTCTTCTTCCCCGTGTTTGCAATGACGATATTCGTCATTGCCGTGTTTTCGTTCACATTCTGCACCATTAATATCCTTCTTCCTCGTGTTTGCCTTGTTATCGTCAGGAAATCGCATTCGTTTTGCACATAGTGTCTGTTATTTCTAGTTAGGTGCTTTCCTCATGTCAATTTCCTTTCAAATTTCATAGGCATAGTCTCTAACATCACATCAAGGTCACTACATTCTTCGATTTCCGAAATCATTCATGCATAGCCGTCCAGGCGCCATTTTGTCCGTTTCTGGTCCATTTTAAGGCCTTTCATTCTCCCTTCCTATCTCCACTATCCTAGATCCTACAAACTTCTGACAAATTCCTCTAGATAGTCTAAGTGATGTTCTTTTATCTGTTCTTTTATTTGCGACGCACAACCTGACCTTCAAAATGCCATCTTCGTACTCGAAATTTAAATTATCTAATATGAAATCGACTCCGTCAAAAATATTTAAAATACTTGAAAAATGGACCCCTAACAATTTAAAATTGCAATAACTATTTTTTAACAGTTCCGTTTCGTTTCATTTTCTCGCAGTATTGTTATCTTATAATTGCACATAGCCATGCCAAGTTTAACGCTCCAATAGCTATGCCAAAAAATAGCGCCCTCTACAGTTCTGGGAATTGGCTTTCTTTCTGTGGCCATATCTCCATTGTGTCTTAGCAAACCCGTACCCTTTTTGGATTTAGATACTTGAAGATTATATACCCTAACGCTGACCAAATTTGAGAAAATTGCCCTCCATCATTTTCAAGAAAATTGCGAAATAATTTTAATGTCAACGACAGATCACCTTTTAATTTCGTCAGAATTTTCTTTCTTTATTTGTATTTTTTTATTTCTCCACTTTTTCGTGCAAGCGATTACTCAAAATCGGTTCAATCAATTTCTTTCAATTTTGACACAGTCATGGGTCATTGTCATAAGACATGACAGAATCATTTCCAAGGTTATCAAGTACTTGTGACGTCATCCAAGCGCCGTTTTGATAAAATCAACTTTCGATCATATCTTCATAACGGAAATTCATTTGAAGGACACCATCCTCTTTGTGTAAGCCATTGCGAATGACATTCATTGTCAACAATGTGGGGCTACCTATATAAAGATGAAAATATAGAAATGAAAGATTAGTCCCTTATCAAAGGAATCGTAGCGATTTACAGAACTTACGCAATTAATGTATAGGCAACTTGATTTGAATTTGTACAATTATATATCATTTAGATGATGATACAAGCGATCAGGATCTGTGTGACGCTGGTTGGACACGTAGCGGTAATGCATGCTACCAACTAGTTGAATCTACCGTCGACTATACAACAGCCCTGGATGCGTGCAGAAATCTCAATGACTACGGTGATCTGGCGAGCGTAGCTGATCAAGACGAAAGCAACTTTCTTCTCGTATTATCGAGGTAAGCCCCTACCCCCGACCCCCTCCTCGAATACAGGAGCCACATCATGGAATATCTTATTGGCAGCAACCCTCACCCGCACGCACAGGCACATCTTTAGCCACGTACCCTCCCATGCCACCTTTCACCCACAAGCATGCGCAGAGCGTGGTCTGTGGACGAGTATGCTCAGGGGCTCAAACGCCATCACAGTTTTATCACCCAGATCGGAGCCGATGCTAGGGCACCAAATTGCACTTTGCTTTAAATTTGACATAACGTCAAATTCATTGTTCAAGAACAAAATTCATTTTTAGATTCATGATATGAATCCATGTAAATTTGGTAAAACTTCTGTTTTCAAATACAACGCGCTACAAATTTATGCTACCACACGTTTTGATCAGTACTGTATCATGGGCCCTTTAAGGGTATTACTGTGAAAAGATTGTTTAACTTTGTTCCAATTGTTATTTATCAAATAAACAGAAGCACATTTGGTACGAATTATTACTGGATTGGGTTCAATGACCTCAATGAAGAGGGAACTTGGGCATGGACTGATGGCTCAGTTGTATCTTATACCAACTGGCATTCTGGAGAACCATGTAAGTAAATAACAAATTCATTTTGCAGAATAAGTAAAGGCGCTAGGCATGTTAGGCGTGGATGTCCATCTGATAAAGACTGAAATATAAGCATAATTTATTCAAGCTAAACTCCTTTCCATTTATAATAATACATTATTGATCACTGAACACAATTCTGAAGGTACCATCGTGGTGCTCCTACAAAATTTCTCCGCACTGGGATTGGTCAAAGATATAGAATAAGGGCTTAGGTTTGCGTTGCACTAGAATTTTAGAACAGAAGCTTGTGACTACTCAACGAGCTACGGAGAGAAAGATGTCGCATTTATCTCTGCGAGACAAAATCAATCACAAAGTCATACGCCCGAAAACAAAGGTTAAAGACATCATGGAGAAAGTCAGAGAATCAAAGTGGAGATGGGCTGGGCATGTATTAAGACTTCAGGACAATAGATGGACAAATCGTTTAACAGAATGGCAACCAAGGATGGGAAAGAAAAGAAGATGTAGGCAAAAGAGAAGATGGAGAGATGACCTAACATCATACATGTGAACGGCCGCTTGGACTAGGACAGCTAGAGACAGAAGAGAATGGAAATGTTATGAGGAGGGCTTTGTCCAACGTCTGGATGAACTATAGCCTGATAGATAGATAGATAGAATTTTATTTTACATTTTATTGTAAGGGTTACTTTTAAGTTGGGTCGAGTGTTTAATTTTGTTGCAGGGTTCGGTTAGGGTAGGATGTTGATCGCGGAGCAATTATTACTGGAGCATGTTTCACAACAACAACAGTTCTTAAATCAAATATGAAATATAGCTTAAAAGCTAAGCTCCTCCTTTCTGATATTGTTATCTCTTTATTTAGCTGGTGGATCTGAAGATTGTGGTGTATTACGATGGAATTCAGACGGCACATGGTATGATGCAGACTACTTGTCGACATACGGCTACATCTGTAAATACCCGCTAAACACCAGTAAGTCACACTCTATGATGAGATCGTTTATAATTAATATATGGTCTCTATGACTCAGGTTTCAAATATGATTCAACGTTATACATAGAAATCGCTTTGGTGAACTTTCCACCTTGTTAAACAAGGTCTCTTGGCTCTAGACTAGCTGTATTGCTTAGTGTAGCCTATCTGCTGAATTATAATGATATAGGTGAAAATAAAATGAAGAAAAAAATGTTTTACTTAAATATGTAATATATTGTTTGTTGTAAATCCAGGATCTGTTTCATTCGAAGACGTTCAGTAAGAGGTACAGTCACACTTAACTCATCGATCAATAGCTATACCATGGTGACTTAAAATTCATGTCCGAGTAGGACCGAAGAAAGAAAACTCCTTGATATAATTATTTACTCTCCCTTCCTTTTCCTTTCTCTTGATCAGTTTCCTGTGCTGAATGGAAGCGTAAAGGCTATACATCTAATGGATACTACACAATAGATCCTGATGGGAGAAATAACGGAGTCGATCCATACAGAGTATACTGTGATATGACTACGGATGCTAGCACAGGTAACATATCAACGATAAATTATTAGTTAAAGTAGTCACGAATCGGTCATGTACAATAGTGACAAATATATCAAAGTTACTATACTCCATGAATATTGTAATCTTTTCGAAATTTACACGTCCAAGAACGCCGTTTTCTTGAAATGTACTGCATTGACAGGGATCAGGAAATAAAGGGGGAAAAAAGGTAATCCATAACTATGATGGTCAGGGATCTGACTTACTTTTACCTCTCAAGTAATTGCCAATTACTAAATTTGAGGGAAAAACACGGCGCAGTTGCTTCGTATTCTTAGAAACATTCATGAGTAACACCAGAATATTTGCTGTTTGGAGCTTGGGGTAGTTAATCAAGACCGGGAATTACTAACTTAATAATATGTATTACTATTCATGAAAAAATTGTCCGTGTGATTACTCATTATTATTATAATTTGTCTTGATTATCTTGGCTAGGTATCACGACGTTTGAGCACCAGGAGACAAATCGATCTTTGGTAACAGATGCAGAGGCGCCTTTTAGTTTCATCCGAAACATAACCTATGGTGACAAGTCGGTTAATCAAGTGACCACCGGTGCCGATATCAGCGGGGAGTGCTACCAATATATCAAGGTAGGGTAAAACCGAGGGTTCTATTTTGTTCTAAAAGTTCCTTGATGGAATAAATAAAATATATATCATTATGTATATATATATATATATATATATATATAAATGACGAGAAATGGCAAACAATATTAACATAGCACTTATCATTGTAATGAGGGCGAGAGAATATTAAAGAGCAATGCAAAAATGAATATCACAGATAATATGTAAAAAAATGAAGAGCATGTCAGTGGAATAGCAAAGGACAAAAACACAGAGACATTAATAATAATGATAATACACAATATTTATTAGGTGCTTAATACTGATGTCTCTAAGCGCACTATAGTCTGACTAAAAAATTATTTACCAAAACTTATGCTAAACACACAACTTATACATCTGTTCTTTATTCAATAAATCATGCATAATGGATAATGGGAGTCGCTTTTCTTTGGAAACAATAAGGGGGGAGACCAGTGATAATTCAGAAGAAACATGTAGATATTGATAATGACCTATAAGATGGCTGTGTCGAATAGTACGTGCTATGACACGCTACATCATATCTAGGGTTCAACATTACTTATTTTCCTGTGATCGCAGATTTTCAGCAATCTCAGGGTGATATTTCTTTTTGTTTCTCTCTTCAATCACCGTTTTAGTACGAATGCCATGCTTCCTATTTGACTGGCTATACTGCTTGGTATGACAGAGACGGAAAGCAGAAGAACTACTGGGGTGGAGCCACGGTAGACAGCGGACAGTGCGCTTGTGGAATCTCAGGTATGATTGTAGGTCATAATAGAGGGCGTCCTTGGCTTACTGAATCAGAGCCATACATGTACAGAGTTTGGCCAACTTGGCATCCATTGGTTACAACACGACGTATTTGTATTCATTTGTTTTGTGCCAGCCCTCGACAAAGCAGTATTCCCAATATATTGTTACCAATTATTACCGTGTTGTTCAAACTCTGTATATTGATTGCTCTGCACTGAATGGAATGGGATTATCTCACATTAATACAACATCAGTAATGTCTCAAATAGTGAAGTACTATACCATAACATAAACCGAAGAATTGGCGTTGAAAAAGTTGTCAACATTACAGCTTTTTGCGCACTAAAGCAAACCAAGCACATCCAGTCAGACCGCAGCCGGTGCGAAAACCCTCTATTTTATTCAGCACGTATGCAAAAATGTACGTGTCTTGCATACATAATGAGTAGTGCATACGGTTTTCCCGATCGGCAGTTTTTGCCTTTATAATTGTTCATTTCTCATGAAATGGGTCTCATTTTAAAGATACGAAGTTGTACTCTCTATATACTTATATGACAATCATGTTAAATATATTTTGGAAACTGATATTTCGCCTTGAAAATGGGGTTTTTCGACGATAAATCTATTTAAAGAGTAGGGCAGATTTTCACATAGAAATCATTCTTGCGTCAAGAAGATGTTATAATCAGGATAAAGCATAAATATTTTTCTTTACAATAATATCACAATTATTATATTTTACGCTGTACCAAAGTCAGGAACCAAGAAAAATCACGCGAATGTTCATGAATAATTAAACAAAAGTAGTCAACTTTGCCGATGTGATAATAAAGCGTTCTGATTGGCCAAATACGTCAACTACGTCACATATGTTCCGCTTTGGTTTATTAACATTCTGAATACAAAATTTGAGTAAGCATTCCTTGTGGCATGCGCCTGTAATGCACGTGCGCGCAAGCAGTCATGACAACAATCTGAGGACCCTGGATCAATTACGTCACCTGCCTTTCTGATAATCTTTTTCTACATTATTTCTTTTTTAATCATTTTTCTTATTTTTTTTTGGCCAGTCGGTGGCGCGGCGGAGCTCCCTGGAGTTTAATAATCAGTTATGTATTGCCATTGCTCAAACGGCGAGCGTGCGCGAGTATGAAATTATACAATTTCGCGCCATCATATAGAAAGAACAAATTGGTAATTTCCGGGTTTTTAGGGTCTTAATTACTATGATTATAAAAAAAACAAGATTTTGCGTCAATTAGGCTTTGACATTATTTTGATCAGTGACTTTTCATCTTTCCAACGAATCTCAAAGTATCGGAGAAACACATAAATACGTTTAATTTGAAATGAACAACCTACATATCCCATCAAGATAAGCTATGAACGAATGGATCTTGATCTTCGTCTTTCAGGTTCATGTACCAACGGTCACCAATGCAACTGCGATACCGATGACGATGCCTGGAGAGAGGACTCGGGGTATCTTACCGATAAGACTACCTTACCTGTTACTGAAATGAGGTTTGGTGATACAGGAGACACCGTCGAGTACGGGTATTATACACTAGGACCATTATACTGCAAGGGGGATGATTCTTGTAAGTTTTATATGAAAACGATCACTTATTATAACATAGCTTCGTAAAGATTTCTTATCCTTAAACAAAGTTGTCAATAAACGTTTCTGGCACTATGACTCCCAGAAAAAGAAGAAGTATGAAACAAAATTAAATTGGCGCTCCGACAAATGGTCGTTATTATATTTGTTAAATGATTGAGATGATGGTTACGTTGACAATGCAGATAATGATTTAACGATGAATATAATGATGATGATGATGGTGATAATAATGACGATGATGACGACGGCGACGACGACAATGCAGATGATACTGATAATGATCCCGATGATATAAAAATCAGGAATTACCATTCTGGTAAAAATATTTGGTAAAATGACACTGACCCTGTGCTTCGTCCTTTCTTTCCATTCTCTAGTCCTTGTGACGGGTCGTACAGATTTCATGTTCATCAAAGAAAGGTACCTTCATTATAACAACAACGCAGTTCTGTCTAGCATCACGGTTGAAGAATGCGCCCAGGCCTGTGTGTCAGCCTTCACCTTCATATGTAGATCGTTTGACTATGAACCATCCTACAGCAGGTGCTATCTCAGTGAGGAGAATGACTTGACTGTTAACCCATATAGCGGTTCTGTTTATCACATGTTTGTTCGGATCAGTAAGTTTCAGTTCCATGTCAGTCTTCTGGATTCTTACTTAGCTCAGAGGGCGCTGTTGATTTACAACAGCCGTTCGATTCAACTCAACACTCATTCAATCGGTCAATCTGTCCACAGCTAATACACCCAGGCATTCATTAAACAATCGTAATAAATTTCCTGAGTTTGCAAACTAATGTACTCGATGTTGCTGGATTTACCGTTAGCTTTTTAAACTATTCCTAAATGTTCCCTCAACTCCTAGTTAGGCAGAATTCCACCTGACTGTGATACACTTTGCATTAACAAGATTTTTTTGTTTATATTAATTCCAATCTTTTCCCCACCTTTGTCTCCTCAGTGGACCGCATTGAAGACCCATTTACTGGTGAGTAAATCACCTAACTATATTTTTCTTTAGCAAGATACGAATTGATAGTTATATGTATCAAAGGAAACCGAACCCCTAGAAATAACTTTACTTATTCTTAGAGATCTATTATATTATTGCCCATAAATCTACAAGATTCCCCACCAAAGTGTATGAGAGAGGTATACCCTTACAAAAAAAACTTAATGGTAAATGAATGGTGTTTGAATGGTAGCATCAATGGTAAATGGTATTTCAATGATGTTCCAATGGTGGATTCTGTATAGTGAATGGTGTTTCAATGGTGGTGAATGATGGTGAATGGTGTTTCAATGGTAGAGTCTGTATGGTCAAAGGTGTTTCAATTGTGGAATTGCATGATCAATGATGTTTTAATGGTGGAATTGTATGGTCAATGGTGTTTCAATGGAAAAGTCTGTATGGTGAATGGTGTTTCAATGGTGGAATTGTATAATTGTGAATGGTGTTTCAATAATGGCGTCTGTATGGTGAATGGTGTTTCAATGGTAGAGTCTGTATGGTGAATGGTGTTTCAATAATAATAATAATAATAATAATAATAATAATAATAACAATATTTATAAAGCGCAACATATCCATCTCTAGAGATGCTCAAGGCGCATACAAATAATTTAAATTAATATTCAACATACTGAAGATTAAAGAAATATTAAAGTTTAACTTGCATTAGATCATACAACTTCATGGTGCCAAGGTACATACAATGTGGCACAGTGCGATTGTTTGTTTTGCATGCATTGTATAAAAAAAACATTGAAATTTAACAATATGCATTGAGCATCAGGTGAGTTTTAAGCCCAGTTTTGAAAGTAGAGAGAGTGTTGGCCGTCTAAATAGAGAAAGGTAACTTATTCAACAAAGAAGGAGCTGCTGATGCAAATGCTCTATCCCCCCAATTTCGTTTGGAACGTATTTCTTTAGGTCTAATATTATGTGATGAACGTAAACCAGAACGACCTGCAGAGTGGAATTGTGGAATTGTATGGTCAATGATGTTTCAATGGTGGAATTGTATGGTCAACGGTGTTTCAATGGAAGAGTCTGTATGGCGAATGGTGTTTCAATGGTGGAATTGTATGGCCAATGGTGTTTCAATGGTGGCGTCTGTATGGTGAATGGTGTTTAAGCGGTAGAATTGTATGGTCAATTGTGTGCCAATGGTGGATTCTGTATGGTTAATGGTGTGCCAATGGTAGAGTCTGTATGGTCAATGGTGTGCCAATGGTTGAATTGTATGGCCAATGGTGTTTCAATGGTGGCGTATGTATGGTGAATTGTGTTTCAATGATAGAGTCTGTATGGTGAATGGCGTTTCAATGGTGGCGTCTGTATGGTGAATAATGTTTCAATGGTAGAGTCTGTATGGTGAATGGTGTTTCAATGGTAAAGTCTGTATGGTGAATGGTGTTTCAATGGTAGAGTCTGTATGGTGAACGGTGTTTCAATGGTAAAGTCTGTACGGTCAATGGTGTGCCAATGGTTGAATAGTATGGTCAAAGGTGCTTCAATGGTAGAGTCTGTATGGTGAATGGTGCTTCAATGGTAAAGTCTGTATGGTGAATGGTGTTTCAATGGTAAAGTCTGTATGGTGAATGGTGTTTTAATGGTAGAGTCTGTATGGTGAACGGTGTTTCAATGGTAAAGTCTGTACGGTCAATAGTGTTTCAATGGTGGCGTCTGTATGGTGAATGGTGTTTAAGCGGTGGAATTGTATGGTCAATTGTGTGCCAATGGTGGATTCTGTATGGTTAATGGTGTGCCAATGGTAGAGTCTGTATGGTCAATGGTGTGCCAATGGTTGAATTGTATGGCCAATGGTGTTTCAATGGTGGCGTATGTATGGTGAATTGTGTTTCAATGATAGAGTCTGTATGGTGAATGGCGTTTCAATGGTGGCGTCTGTATGGTGAATAATGTTTCAATGGTAGAGTCTGTATGGTGAATGGTGTTTCAATGGTAGAGTGTGTATGGTGAATTGTGTTTCAATGATAGAGTCTGTATGGTGAATGGCGTTTCAATGGTGGCGTCTGTATGGTGAATAATGTTTCAATGGTAGAGTCTGTATGGTGAATGGTGTTTCAATGGTAGAGTCTGTATGGGGAGTGGTGTTTCAATGGTGGCGTCTGTATGGTGAATGGTGTTTTAATGGTAGAGTCTGTATGGTGAATGGTGTTTCAATGGTAAAGTCTGTATGGTGCATGGTGTTTCAATGGTAAAGTCTGTATGGTGAATGGTGTTTCAATGGTAGAGTCTGTATGGTGAACGGTGTTTCAATGGTAAAGTCTGTACGGTCAATGGTGTGCCAATGGTTGAATAGTATGGTCAAAGGTGCTTCAATGGTAGAGTCTGTATGGTGAATGGTGCTTCAATGGTAAAGTCTGTATGGTGAACGGTGTTTCAATGGTAAAGTCTGTACGGTCAATGGTGTGCCAATGGTAAAGTCTGTATGGTGAATGGTGTTTAAGCGGTAGAATTGTATGGTCAATTGTGTGCCAATGGTGGATTCTGTATGGTTAATGGTGTGCCAATGGTAGAGTCTGTATGGTCAATGGTGTGCCAATGGTTGAATTGTATGGCCAATGGTGTTTCAATGGTGGCGTATGTATGGTGAATTGTGTTTCAATGATAGAGTCTGTATGGTGAATGGCGTTTCAATGGTGGCGTCTGTATGGTGAATAATGTTTCAATGGTAGAGTCTGTATGGTGAATGGTGTTTCAATGGTAGAGTCTGTATGGGGAGTGGTGTTTCAATGGTGGCGTCTGTATGGTGAATGGTGTTTTAATGGTAGAGTCTGTATGGTGAATGGTGTTTCAATGGTAAAGTCTGTATGGTGCATGGTGTTTCAATGGTAAAGTCTGTATGGTGAATGGTGTTTCAATGGTAGAGTCTGTATGGTGAACGGTGTTTCAATGGTAAAGTCTGTACGGTCAATGGTGTGCCAATGGTTGAATAGTATGGTCAAAGGTGCTTCAATGGTAGAGTCTGTATGGTGAATGGTGCTTCAATGGTAAAGTCTGTATGGTGAACGGTGTTTCAATGGTAAAGTCTGTACGGTCAATGGTGTGCCAATGGTAAAGTCTGTATGGTGAATGGTGTTTAAGCGGTAGAATTGTATGGTCAATTGTGTGCCAATGGTGGATTCTGTATGGTTAATGGTGTGCCAATGGTAGAGTCTGTATGGTCAATGGTGTGCCAATGGTTGAATTGTATGGCCAATGGTGTTTCAATGGTGGCGTATGTATGGTGAATTGTGTTTCAATGATAGAGTCTGTATGGTGAATGGCGTTTCAATGGTGGCGTCTGTATGGTGAATAATGTTTCAATGGTAGAGTCTGTATGGTGAATGGTGTTTCAATGGTAGAGTGTGTATGGGGAGTGGTGTTTCAATGGTGGCGTCTGTATGGTGAATGGTGTTTTAATGGTAGAGTCTGTATGGTGAATGGTGTTTCAATGGTAAAGTCTGTATGTTGAATGGTGTTTCAATGGTAAAGTCTGTATGGTGAATGGTGTTTCAATGGTAGAGTCTGTATGGTGAACGGTGTTTCAATGGTAAAGTCTGTACGGTCAATGGTGTGCCAATGGTTGAATAGTATGGTCAAAGGTGCTTCAATGGTAGAGTCTGTATGGTGAATGGTGCTTCAATGGTAGAGTTTGTATGGTGAATGGTGTTTCAATGGTGGAGTCTGTATGGTGAATGGTGTTTCAATGGTGGAATTATATGGTCAATGGTGTTTCAATGTTGGAATTATATGGTCAATGGTGTTTCACTGGTAGTGACTTTGAGAAAACTAGGTGTCCCTTATACTTTGAACTACAATTTGCTCTGAGATTTTGCTTTAATTTTCACCAATTTTTCTTCATGATCAACGTTTCAAAGCTGACAAACTGCAAGGAATAATACCCTAGTCCTCAGGAACAATGATGGATTTTTAGTTTTTTCTTCAATTTGGGGTAAATTTGGATCTGATATGTGACTCTTTACCGTGAGTAACTGCTGTTTTGTGCCTGTGGTCCCACTCATATGACTCTGTGATGTACATTTTTATACATTTGCTTACATGAACATCTGTTTTTTTAATTAAAGCAGCAATTATAAATCATTCTATTTTATTACAAAAAAATGAAATATTACAGTATTAGAGGAACACCTTTAGAACTTGTATCAAGTTATTTATCTGATCGTAAACAATTAACAATTATTAATGAAGCTGCCCTTACAAAAAATGTTCAATGGTATTACCAATGGTATACCATTCGGAAGTACCACTGAAAATACCATACGGATACCATTCACAAACACCATTTAAATACCATTCGGATACCATTGAGATTACGCTCGCAACGTACCCTTGGACACCATTCATCTACCAGTAAAATACCATTCAACCTAATAATATTTTTTTGGACGCTCATTTGCATAATTACCAATGGTAGATGAATGGTACTATTTACACCATTGAAATTTGAATATGAAATATGCAAATTTTGTAACATTAATCTACCATTCACCTTTGGCATGGTAGGCCATTGGTGGATGGTAGGCCAATGGTGGATGTTGAATGGTAGGCCAATGATGGATGGTGAATGGTAGATTGGCCTACCATTCACCATCCACCATTGGCCTACCATTCACCATTGGCCTACCATTCACTATCCACCATTGGCCTACCATCTACCATTGGCCTACCATGCCAATAGAGAATGGTAGATTAATGTTACAAAATTTGCATATTTCATATGCAAATTTCAATAGTGTAAATAGTACCATTCATCTACCATTGATGATTATGCAAATGAGCGTTCAAAAAACTATTATTAGGTTGAATGGTATGTCATTGGTAGATGAATGGTGCCCATTCAAGCGTAGCGAGCGTAACCTCAATGGTATCCGAATGGTATTTAAATGGTGTTTGTGAATGGTATCTGTATGGTATTTTCAGTGGTACTTCCGAATGGTATACCATTGGTAATACCATTGAACATTTTTTTGTAAAGGTAAAGCAAGAATAATGTACAGTTTCTCAGCACAACATGGGCATCACCATTTTCTTGATAACGTGACGTACTATGCGAAGTCGTTTATCAAGCAAATGTATTCAAATTTATGGATGCTTCTTTCCCAGACGTGTGTGGTGATGAAGCATTTCATTCACCTGCTATAATACCTTTGCACTATAATTGCCAGAACGCAAATTGGCATAAATAAGTTGGTGCTCTTCTGGGATGAAGGTTTGTCATAAATGAAATAGATTTGTCAACTGCTATAGTGTAGTATTTATAAATCAATTTAGTTACAATTGTTCCCCTGTTATTTATTTTTCACCAAATATAATTTCTATCTTCTCAGTTATGATTTTTTTTCTCATTGAAAAGTAAAAGTTTCATCATTGATTTTAAAATTCTTTCCAAATAAATATTGGCACATGATAAATGTACAACTTCAACGGGTACGTCCATTTTCAAGAATATGGCTGCGCCCATGCCATGCTAAAAGGCATCACATCATGCCAGGAATATCTTCATTTATATATTTCTTGTACATTTTCGTAACGATTATTGTACATCAAAAGGCAGGAATACATCTCATTTGTCAGAATACCTTCACTTATTCTTTGGGGTTAGATTTTCTTTCAATGTTCGTTACCCGTTTGTTATCATGAAGTGTATTTTCATCAATGATTATTATTTCTTTTATAAATGTTATGCTTCCTGGGAGAAATTTCAATTATTTAAACATATTTGTGGCTTACACCCGGTAAATAACATCGATTGATGGATCTGTAATAGAAAAACAAGTCAGAAAAAAACTTTTAACCAGCGGGACTTGAACCTGAATCTACTGCTTGCCGGGCGGCGACTCTACCGCCAGGCCATCACTGGTCCATGGCACAGGCAAGATGAACTAGAAACAAATACTCATGTACCCAAGCTCTCCTGATTTATTCTGACTCATTAATATTCATTAGTCCGCCATAGAGGAGGCGCGATAGCTCACTCGGTAGAGCAGTGGTCTAGTAATCCGCTGACCCGGGTTCGAAACCAAGGCGATGCGCTAATGCCCTTTGGTAAGGCATTAATCATCATTACCAGGTCCCTCGGAAAGGACCTAAAGCCGTCGGTCGTCTGGTTGCTTACTTACAAGCATTTATGCTTTCTTAGCAGTCAGGTAAAATAGCCAACATTCAACATCGGAAAATGACAATAATTATTATAAATGCAATGCTTCCTAGAATCCTCGGAGAAATTTCAATTATTTAAACATTATTTGTGGTTTACACCCAATAAATAAAATCGATTGATCGATCTGTAATTGAAAAAACAAGTCAGAAAAAACCTTTGAACCAGCGGGATTGTGCCATGGACCAGTAATGGCCTGGTGGTAGAGTCGCTGCCCAGCAAGCAGTAGATGCAGGTTCAAGTCCCGCTAGTTCCAACATTTGTTCTGACTTGTTTTTCAATTACAGATCGATCAATCGATCTTATTTACTGGGTGTAAGCCACAAATATGTTTGAAAAAATTATTATATTGTTTAACAAAACGTATGTTTTAAGGATATCAATGAATCTTATACCGCGAGAGGCAAAGTAGTCAGCAGATCATGGAAAATTACGAAACATTTTATCCTTTAATATTAATATTTTTATAAATTCATGATAATCACTATCACATATTTTAGAAACTTTTGAATAATTTTCTACCAAATTACAAATTAATGATGTAATACTTCAGTGTTTTTATAGTTCATATCACCGCCGTAGCATCTCTATGCGCTCAGAAGAAGAAAAATATCAACAACATGTAATATGAAAGACGGACGCTGTACTTGCCCGACAGAAAACCAGTAAATATGCGTTTTGTACAAAAATGTTTTTTTAGGACGGTTATATAGAACATTAAATTGTTAATGATTCCTTTATATGAGGTCATCACGATTGCATTAGAGCCATTTTCTGTCGTGAAGATGAAATTACATGAGTACTACGGGAGAACAATAACAGAATAATTTGGTAATCTGGTAACGCCGAAACTTTTACCACCCTGTTATGAAGTAGCTACAACTATCGTGATTTCATAAACATATATTTTTAAAATCAAACTTAGTACCAACATTTCATGAAAATGCCATCATGTTATATTTAGGCGGACTATCGTGTTCGACAGATCACCTATTGATTTCGTCATAATGTTTTTTCTTTATTCATTTTTTAATTTTTTAATTTTTGTTTATATTGGAAAATCAAAAGATATCACAATATTAACAAATAAATTACCTAATTAGAAACAAATTCACTAAACAGAATAAAACAATAACAATAAAATATAGTAAATGGTACAAAATGAAAAAAAACAAAAACAAAAACAGAAAATTGAAAACGTTACAAAATGAATATTGTTCAAGAACGAAACCCCGAGACAAAAAGGTGGTGCATTATTAAATGGTTTGTCATCGACAGACTACCTATTGATTTCGTCCGAATTTTCTTTCTTTTTTCTTTATTCTCCACCTTTCTGTGCAAACGATTACTCAAAATCGGTTCAGCAAATTTCGTTCAATTTTGGCACAGTCATAGGTTATTATCATAAGAGGTGGCAGCTAACTTTTCGAGGTTATCAGGTCTTCATCCTTTTCTCTCACCCTCTCCCTTTCCCGCCTCCGGTTCTTGTTCTACCTCTATTATGTCTTTTATTGTTCCTTAATTTTCTCTAGCTCTTCCCTTAGCCCTTTGTATTCTTATTTCACCCCTACCATGTTTCCTTACTTTCCTCTCTCCTTCCAAGAGCATGCATTCTGATTCCTCCTGTATCCTTCTGTCCAGCTCATGTGGGAATTAGGTGGTCTGGCAACGACAGATCAACTATTGATTTCGTTAAAATTTTCCTTCTTTATAAGGTGGTCTGTCAACGAAAGATCCCCTTTTGATTTCGTCAGAATTGTCTTTCTTTATTTTTTTTTATTTCTCCACTTGTTCGTGCAAGCGATTACTCAGGATCAGTTCAGTCAATTTCTTTCAATTTTGGCACAGTAATAGGTCATTGTCAAAAGATATGACAAAAGCATTTCCAAGGTTATCAAGTACTTGTGACGTCATCCAAGCGCCATTTAGAGAAAATCAACTTATGATCATATCTTCATAACAGAAATTCATTTGAAGGACACCATCCTCTTTGGGTAAGCCATTGCGAATGACATGCATTGTCAACAATGTGGAGCAATTACTATTTAGACAACTTGATTTGAATGTGTACAATATATCATCTAGATGATGATACAAGTGATCAGGATCTGTGTGACGCTGGTTGGATACGTAACGGTAATGCATGCTACCAACTAGTTGAATCTACCGTCGACTATACTACAGCCCTTGATGGGTGCAGAAATCTCAATGACTACGGTGATCTGGCGAGCGTAGCTGATCAAGACGAAAGCAACTTTCTTTTCGTGTTATCGAGGTAAGCCCTACCTTTTGACAAGGCCTCGTGACTCTGGCTATTTTCCACCCAAATCAGTGGCTGAGATGAATCTAGAGACCCATGGTGAACGCGCGATCGAGTGGCGTAGCCGCGAGAGCCTTTTGCAATCTAGATTTTACTGCTCCGCATGAATTATTCATAGCTTTGGATTTATTGACCAATTAGAACGGCCATCCCCCAGTTGGCTTCGTTCGTGATTCGTTCATAATCAAAACATGTAAGAAAAGGTAAAAGACGTATGTTTTGCTTATGAGATGAACATATAATTGATAGATACAAAATATCACATTCAAATTTATTTTACACGCAAAACTACAATGAAATAGGAAGCATTTGATGACTTAGGCTAACAATAATAAGTTAGATAATTGGACTTAATTTCCCTGTATATAAAATAAACCAGTCTCGTTTTCGTTCCATGTCAGTGGTCAGTGGTCTTAGCCCGAACGTCAGTTCATAGTAGGTCCATGTTTGTACTACGTACAGTTTACTCCGTGTGTGTATGTGATGGATACTATATACTGACGTAATGCGAGGATACGTTCGGTGATTGGACGCTACATTTTCGGTAGAATATTCCAGTCGGAAAAAGGGTTAACATAAGAAATCCAACCTGGATTGCTAAAGGCTACTAAAATGCGCTACTCGCTTTGGCGTTCACTCAGGTTTTCGCGATTAGTCTCTTTTTAGTCGCTCGGCGTCTATCAGACATGTGGCCTTGTTTAAAGGCTAGGTATGCCCCTACCCCCGACCCCCTCCTCGAATACAGGAGCCACATCATGGAATATTCTATTGGCAGCAACCCTCACCCACACGCACAGGCACACCTTTAGCCACGTACCCTCCCATGCCACCGTTCACCCACAAGCATGCGCAGAGCGTGGCCTGTGGACGAGTATGATCAGGGGCTCAAACGCCATCACAGTTTTATCACCCAGATCGGGAACTGATGCTAGGGCACCAAATTTAACTTTGCTTTAAATGTGACATTACGTCAAATTCATTGTTCAAGAACAAAATTCATTTTTAGATTCATGGTATGAAGCCATGTAAATTTGGTAAAACTTCTGTTTTCAAATAAAACGCGCTACAAATTTATGCTACCGCACGTTTTCATGTATCTTTTATGTATGGGCCTTTTAAGGGTATTACTATGAAAGGATTGTTTAACTTTGTTTCAACTTTTATTCATCAAATGCACAGACGCACCTTTGGAATGAATTATTACTGGATTGGGTTCAATGACCTCGATGAAGAGGGAACTTGGGCATGGACTGATGGCTCAGTTTCATCTTATACCAACTGGTATTCTGGAGAACCATGTAAGTAAATAACAACAAATTAATTTTGCAGAATAAGTAAAGGACTAGGCATGTTAGGCATGGATGTCCCACCGATAGAGACTGAAATATAAGCATAATTTATTCAAGCTAAACTACTTTCCATTCATAATAATACATAAGTGATCACTGAACACAATTCTTAAGGTACCATCGTGGCGCTCCTACAAAATTTCTCAGCTCTGTGATTCGTCAAAGATATAGAATAAGGGCTTGGGTTTGCGTTGCACTAGAATTTTAGTTTACATTTTATTGTAAGGGTTACTTGTATGTTAAGTCGAGTGTTTAATTATGTTGCAGGGTTCGGTTAGGGTAGGATGTTGATCGTTGAGCAATCATGACTAGAGCGTGTTTCACAACAACAACAGTTCTTAAATCAAATATTTAATATAGCTTATAAGCTAAGCTCCTCATTTCTGATACTGTTATCTTTTTATTTAGCTGGTGGATCTGAACATTGTGGTGTATTACGATGGAGTTCAGACGGTACATGGTATGATGCAGGCTGCTCGTCAACACACGGCTACATCTGTAAATACCCGCTAAACACCAGTAAGTCACAATCTATAATCAGATCTAGAATGTTTATAATTAATATTTGGTCTCTAAGCTCAGGTTTCCATTATAATTCAACTTTGTACATACAAATTGCTTTAGTGAACTTTCCACCTTGTGAAACAAAGTCTCTTAGCTCTAGCATAGCTGTATTGCTTAGTGTAGCCTATCTGTTGATTTATAATGATATAGGAGAAAATAAAATGACATAATATCTTTTTACTTAAATAAGTCATATATCGTTTGTTGTAAATCCAGGATCAGTGTCATTTGAAGTCTTAAAGTAAGAAGTTCATTCACAATTAACTCATCGATCAATAGCTATACCATGATGACTTAAAATTCATGTCCGAGTAGGACCGAAGAAGAAAAAAAACTCCTTGATATAATGCTTCCTCTTCCTTTCTCTTGATCAGTTTCCTGTGCTGAATGGAAGCGTAAAGGCTATACATCTAATGGATACTACACAATAGATCCTGATGGGAGAAATAATGGAGTCGATCCATGCAGAGTATACTGTGATATGACTACGGATGCTAGCACAGGTGATATATCAACGATAAGTTATTAGTTAAAGTAGTCACGAATCGGTCATGTACAACAGTGACAAACATAACAAAGTTACAATACCCCATGAATATTGTAATCTTTTCGATATGTACAAGTTCAAAAACGCCGTTTTCTTGAAATGTACTGCATTGACAGGGATCAGGAAATAAAGGGAAAATAAAAGGTAAATCATAATTATGACGGTCAGTGATCTGACTTATTTTTACCTCTCAAGTATTTGCCAATCACTCAATTTGAGGGAGAAAAACACGGCGCAGTTGCTTCGTTTTCTTAGAAACATTTATGACTAACAACAGAATATTTGCTGTTTGGAGCCTGGAATAGTTTATTGAGACTGAACCGAGAAATACTAACTTAATAATATTTATTACTATTCATGAAGAAATTGTCAGTGTGTTTACTCATTATTATTACAATTTTTCTTGAATATCTTGGCCAGGTATTATGACGTTTGAGCACCAGGAGGCAAATCGATCTTTGGTAATAGGTGAAAATTCACCTTTTGGTTTTATCCGAAATATTACCTATGGTGACAAGTCGATTGATCAAGTGGCTACCGGTGCCGATATCAGCGGGGAGTGCTACCAATATATCAAGGTAGGGTAAAACCGAGGGTTCTATTCTGTTTTTACAGTTTCTCGATTGTATAAATAAAATATATATTATTATGTATATATATATATATATAAATGATGAAAAATTGCAAACAATATAAAAATGGCACTTACTATGGCAATGAGGGCGAGAGAATAAGCGCAGTGCAAAAAATGTATACCACAGATAATATGTAAAATAATGAAGGGGCATGTTTGTGGAATAGCAAAGGACAAAAACACAGAGACATTATGATAATGGGAGTCGCTTTTCTTTGGAAACAATAAGGGGGAAGACCAGTGATCATTCAGAAGAAACATGTAGATATTGATAATGACCTATAAGGTGGTTGTGTCGAAAAGTACGTGCTATGACATGCTACATCATATCTAGGGTTCAACACTACTTATTTTCCTGTGATCGCAGATTTTCAGCAATCTCATGGTGATATTTAGGTGATACGTACGTAGACGTATCACCTTTTGATTTTGTCAAAATTTTTATTATTTATTTATCAGGTGGGCTGTATAACGTACAGACCACTTTATAATTTCGTTAGAATTGTCTTTATTTATTTATTTATTTATTTATTAGGTGGTCTGTCAACGACAGATCACCTATTGTTTTCGTCAGAATTTTCTTTCTTATTAGGTGGTCTGTCAACGACAGATCACCTATTGTTTTCGTCAGAATTTTCTTTCTTTATTTATTTATTTATTATTATTCTTTATTTTTATTTATTTCTTCACACTTTTTTGTTCACAGGATAACTCAAGATCGGTTCAATCAATTTCCTTCAATTTTGGCACAGTCATAGGCCATTGTCATGAGACGTGACAGTAACATTTTCAAGGTCATCAAATTTTCATGACGTCATCCAGGCGCCATTTTGTGTTTTTTTTGGTACTTTTTACTCATGATCATATCTTCATGACGGAAAGGCATTTCTCATTCATATTCATCATGATTAAGGTCAATATCCGTCCGGTCAATTTCAGGTCAAAAAACGCGCGCGCATGCGTACGTCCGCGCGTCAGCGTGCGCGCAAAAACTAAAAATGCTCCAAATCGTCTAAAATTAATTTTGCATACGTTTCAGGCCATTTCAAGCATTTTGCAAAAAAACGCGCACACGCGGATGGGCGCGCGTTTTCGCGCGTACTGATATTTTGCTACTTAGAATCGCTAAATTTTTTCTGTCATCATGTTTGACACATTTTTCCAAGCATTTTGATACCTTGTTCACCTTTTTCTGACCAGTAATAACGGAATGAGCGTCCGTTTAAGATAATGTCCGTGCGTGCGAGCTCTCGTAATACATAGCATACATGGGCAAAAACATGCCTATACAAAATCCATTGTAGCGCTTTAGGATGCAAGTTGAACCCAATTTTTTTTCCATATTTTGATAGAGTATGAATTGGAAATATGATTTCATGTCTCATTTGACCCTCAATTAACTCATGACGTCATCATAATGGCCTCCCAACTCAAAATTTCAATTTGCATATTATGACGTCAGCAGATTTCTGGAAAATAGACTGTATCTCTGTCAATATTGATCAATTTTCTTTCAAATTTTGATATGATCTAGCTGAGACAATTCTCTACAAATGCAGTTTTCACGATATTTCATTTTGACAAAGGCATCATGGCGTATTTTTGCGATTAAAGGAGGCATGTCAATTTTTCACATTTTGCGTGTATTCTCTATGGGACATGACTTTTTCTCAAAACTGGATTCTACATCCTGTCTTTTGCGAGCAATATCTCCGTCGTTTTAGCTTTGTTTACGCTGAACTTTGAGTATGTTGTAGCTGAGACAATAAGCTATCACAAGTGTGCCCTTTATTTTTCGATCAGATGCCGGGATCATGCTCATATTTCAATTACAAAGTGGGATTTGTGCATTCCATTTTCCGTTTACGTGTAATCTCTATGGGAAATGTTTTGGTATATCGGTAACGCACTTGACTTCCGACCTCGAGGTCCCTGGTTCGAGTCCGGGCGTCTCCAACAATTTTTTTTCTTCACTTTTTTTTCTTTTTGACCATTCACTCTACCATCTCCTTTGAATATTAAAACACGTACAATCGCAAATAATGTAATAAACAACCATATTTACTTTATTATTACCCTATTATCACTAGATCCATTACTTTTTGCGTGTAATCCTTATGGGAGATGGCTTTTTCTCAAATCTGGATTCTACATTCTTGTCTTTTGCGAGCAATATCGCCGTTATTTCGGCTTGATTTTTGTTGATTTTTGAGTATGTTGTAGCTGAGACTATATACTATCTAAATGTTCTCTCATTTTTTTCAGTCTGATGTCATCATGGTCTGTTGATGATAATCATCAACATCATCATGATCATCATCATCATCATCGTCGTCATCCCCATTACTATCAAGATCATCATCATCATCATGATCATCATTGTTTACATGTCTATATAACTTCTCCCTTTCTCAATATAGTAAATATTATAATACATCATAAGACTTGAAGACAGACCACCTAATTCGTCCCCATGACGAATTAAATTTCTAGTTATTTCTTTATTTTTATTTATTTTACCCCTTTTTTTGTTCACATGATAACTCAAGATCGCTTCAATCAATTTCCTTCAATTTTGGCACATTCATAGGTCATTGTCATGAGACGTGACAGTAACATTTTCAAGGTCATCAAATCTTCATGACGTCATCCAGGCGCCATTTTGTGTTTGTTGGGGTACTTTTTACTCATGATCATATCTTCATAACGGAAAAGCATTTCTCATTCATATTTATCATGATTGAGGTCAATATCCGTCCGGTCAATTTAAGGTAAAAAAACGCGCGCGCATGCGTACGTCCGCGCGTCAGCTCGCGCGCAAAATTTCAAAATGCTCAAAATCATATCAAATTAATTTTGCATACGTTTTAGGCCATTTTAAGCATTTTGCAAAAAAACGCGCACACGCGCATGCGCGCGCGTTTTCGCGCGTACTGGTATTTTCCAACATAGAATCGCCAATTTTTCTCTATCATCATATTTGGCACATTTTTTTCAAGCATTTTGATACCTTGTTTACCTTTTTCTGACCATTAATAACGGAATGAGCGTCCGTTTAAGATAATTTCCGTGCGTGCGAGCTCTTGTAATACATAGCATACATGGGCAAAAACATGCCTATACAAAATTCAATGTAGCGCTTTAGGATGGAAGGTGAACCCAATTTTTTTCTCCATATTTTGATAGAGTATGAATTGGAGATATGATTTCATGTCTCATTTGACCCTCAATTAACTCATGACGTCATCATAATGGCCTCCCAACTCAAAGTTTCAATTTGCATATTATGACGTCAGCAGATTTCTGGAAAATTGACTGTATCTCCGTAAATATTGATTGACTTTCTTCCAAATTTTGATATGATCTAGCTGAGACAATTCTCTACAAATGCAGTTGCCACAATATTTCATTTTGACAATGGCATCATGGCGTATTTTTGCAATTAAAGGAGGCATGTCAATTTTTGACATTTTGCGTGTATTCTCTATGGGACATGACTTTTTCTCAAAACTGGAATCTACATTCTCGTCTTTCACGAGCAATATCTCCGTAGTTATATCTTTGTTTACGCTGAGCTTTGAGTATGTTGTAGCTGAGACAATAGGCTATCACAAGTGTGTCCTTTATTTTTCGATCAGATGCCGGGATCATGCTTATATTTCACTTGCAAAGTGGGATTTGAAAATTCAATTTTCCGTTTACGTGTAATCTCTATGGGAAATGTTTTGGTATATCGGTAACGCACTTGACTTCCGACCTCGAGGTCCCTGGTTCGAGTCCGGGCATCTCCAACACTATTTTTTTTTCACTTTTTTTTTCTTTTTGACCTTTCACTGTACCATCTCCTTTGAATATTAACACACGTACAATCGCAAATAATGTAATAAACAACCATATTTACTTTATTATTACCTTATTATCACTAGATCCATTACTTTTGGTGTGTAATCCTTATGGGAGATGACTTTTTCTCAAATCTGGATTCTACATTCTTGTCTTTTGCGAACAATATCGCCGTTATTTCGGCTTGGTTTTTGTTGATTTTTTAGTATGTTGTAGCTGAGACTATACGCTAACTAAATGTTCTCTAATTTTGTTCATTCTGATGTCATCGTGGTCTCTTGATGATAATCATCAACATCATCATGATCATGATCATCATCATCATCATCGTCATCACCATTACTATCAAGATCATCATCATCATGATCATCATGATGATCATCATTGTTTACATGTCTATATAACTTCTCCCTTTCTCAATATAGTAAATATTATAATTTCTCATAAGACTTGAAGACAGACCACCTAATTCGTCCCCATGACGAATTAAATTTCTAGTTTTTCAGGTGGGCTGTATATCGTACAGACCACCTTATAATTTCGTTAGAATTGCCTTTATTTATTAGGTGGTCTGTCGATGACAGATCACCTATTGATTTCGTTAGAATTTTCTTTCTTTATTCTTTATTCTTTATTAGGTGGTCTGTCGATGACAGATCACCTATTGATTTCGTTAGAATTTTCTTTCTTTATTCTTTATTCTTTATTCTTTATTCTTTATTTATTTTTATTTATTCCGTACACTTTTTTTGTGTATACGTTTACTCGAACTCGACCTGGTCAATTTCCTTCAAATTTCTGCTAGTCATCAGGCCCTATGATATGAAGTTCCCGAAACCTTTTTCAAGTTCATGGGGTCATCGTGACGTCATCCAGGCGCCATTTTGTAAAAATCAGGTCAGTATCATATCTCGATAACGAGTCATCAAAAATCAACCATATTTGGTATACATCAACTTCAGGTCAAAGGTCAACGAAAAATGTCAAAAAAATTTGCGTGCGCACCTCGACGCGCACGTACGCGCGCATTAAAATTTTAAAATGGTCAAATTCGTTCCAAATTAATTTTGCATACGTTTCAGGCCATTTTAAGCATTTTGC